TTATCGACTCTTCTCTTTTTAGCTTTGGGATCCATGCGCATAGTCTATGATGCTCACATACCGGTTTGACAGACACGTTGACAGAAAATGTATAATTGAATATTACTTATGCACAATTTTACAGCATTTAAAAACGTTAAGAACGTTTTTCCTTCTACAGAAGGAAAAAGACGCATGCGCCTCCGGAGCCACAGGTTGCCGACTCCTAGTTTATACAGTATGTGGAAGCAAATACTGTAGAGGATCAGGATATGTGCAGTTTCAACAATAAAATAAAATGCAATAGTCTACATTACAAGAGAGCCACGTTGAGGCTGCGCGCTCAGCCACAACACGGTGGAGAGGCTGCGAGCGGCTGGACGCTCACAGCCTCTCGCAGCCGCTGGACGCGGAAGCCGCTCATTACAAAGCGGCCGCAGATGCCCCGGAACACTGCGGCCGCTGAGGTGGCGGAATCCCGTTCTAGTACATAGAGCAGGTGCCCCGCGGATACGCGCGCCCTGCTCCAACAATTCTCAACGGATTTACACTTCTCATAAACATGTGTTTTGTATGAGGCAGACAGACAGGCCCAAATATGGGCATCGGCCCTTTGGGCATTGCCCAAATTTTGATGTCCTACCCTCCGCCGTTTCGCCAATCAGGAAGTGTCATGTACGTCCGTGATCGGGTTGCCAGAACTCCGCGCGGCTCATTAATCTCAGTGGTAAAATAACATGTGGCGCAGAACTAAAAAAGGTCTTGTTATGACTCTCAAATCATTAATGACAAAACAAAGACTAAAACAAGGATTTATATCGGGATGCCTTTGAACAATTGAGACAGCTGATAAAAGTTCACGTGTGATGCAGAATTTTTTAGTTTGACTCCGTTCTTCACAGTGTGTCATTCGTGTGAATCGGTGGTCTAGTGGTCTAGACTGTGCGCTTACGATGCAGGAACCCGGGTTCGATCCCGGGCTATGTCTTTTTGTATTTATTGCATGTTATCACATTCTATGACAGATTGCTCTAAAAACGGTAAAAGATGAATGTCAAGACGTTTTTTTGCAGATTATAGCTTAATTGTAAAAATAATCATTTAAGACCACATGTACCCCAATTAAAATAATGTTAGTCTCTTTTTGATGTGGGACTTATACATGTCTAAAAAATAGGGAATAAATAAAATTGAAAGGTGATATCCTCTTGAGCAAACCCTGATGTTGATACGCTGAAGAAATACGTTCCAACATCCATTCTTCCCACTCCTATTTTGGACATCAATTGCTTATTTATTTTGCATAAACTATGTATAATTAAATTGATTTTGTTTTTGTTTTTTATCTCAAATGTCCAAATAATAATAATAAAAAAACATTAATCAAAACATTCATTCAACATTAGCATGCCTCATGGCAATGTGAATGGAGACGGACAAACAACTGATAAAATAATTCCCTGTGTTTGCTGCTGGATTTGGTGTGAATCTGGCAACCTGAGTCAGGGAGAGTGGGAGAGGACTACAAAATCTTGACTGTGACTGCAGTACCACTTTTGGCCAGATTTTTACATATTGTTCCTTTAAGGCACAAAAAGTAGATTTTTCATGATATGTCCCCTTTAACCAGCCATTCCCATTAAATAACCCAAACACACCCTTAACCCTAACCTTAACCATCTTAATCAGACGCCTAAAACTTAACCAGTCACCACTTAAGGACTTTTTAGTCTAAAACTAATTCGAAAGTAGGATTGTTACTTCCGGTTTCGTCCCGATTCCGTATATGATCTAGTGCCGACCCAAACAAAACTAGCCGGGAAAGCGGAACGGGCACTTCTCTTCTCTTCTGCTCTTCTCTTGCAGGCGCTTCCCTTTGCGCTCTGTTCCCCTACGTTTCCTTCCCGTGAGCCGGACTCACGCGAACAGCTCCGGCCAGGGTTGGTACCACCTCTGAACTCTGCTCAAGCCAAACCTGGAGAAACTTCCCTTCTTCCCCTGGCGTAAGAACAAGCCGGACGGGACGCTACGCTACACAGCTCGTCTGCTACTGAGAACCAAAGTAGCCGCCGGATCGGGCCGCGTGCTTATTTTATCAACAAAGGAACGGGACTAGAGCCATCTACACACACGGACTGCTCTTTTCAGTTATTAGTTAACAATTTGAATGATGAACTCCCTGGTGAAGAACGCACGTTTTAGATAATGAGACTGATTCCTGTGCCCTCTTTAGTTAGGTCTTAGATTTCTTTCCTTTCTCTCTCTTCAGATAGAAGCATTTCTGTATTAATCTAATTAGACCACTCTTAGAGTAAGCACACTCCTATAAACATGGGTGCACATAAGTGGTACGCAGGTACGCATGCGCGACAAATATCAGAACTGCGTACCATCACTTGAGTTAGAAAGCGCTTTTGCGTACTTCACATGGACCAGTCCTTCTTAAACAGTGGGCCGTGGTGCAATAACATCCTCCGTTCTGACCCCGGGAGAAACTGTGGCCGCTCTGACAGCTCATCGAACGCGCGTGGTCATGTACCGAGCGCGGACGATAGACGCGCGTACAGAACCATATACACGTGCGCGTTACGTGCACATTGCACGTGCGGGTCTCTTCCCCGTCTCTCCCCCATGCCTCTCCCACGTCTCCCCCAAGTCTCCACACGAAGCACAGCCAAAAGTCACTGAATTAAAGCGCAGGTACCTAAATTTTCGCTTGCAGTGAAAATGCATGTTATTTGAGCGCAAAAGTATAATGTTGTGACCAAATCAAACAGAACAGACCAAAACAGTCTTGTTTTTTTTATTTTACTTACGTAAGAAAGAGCCCTGTGAGTCATCATTTGACTTTTTGGGCTGAGAGTGGATTTTTAAAAATAATATTTTCCACATAGTTTGTGCCACTTTATTGCCAAACTATTTTTGACTATTTTTGAAAACATTTGTTAGTCACACATTATTATTGGTTGTTTTATTATCTTCCCTGTGTGGAAGTTGTATAATCTTGTTATTATTCTACTGAAGGATTATAATAATACTCTGCATTTTTATTGACAAGTGTCAGCTCTCAAATTCTTTTGAAATTATGTTTCTATCTGCTACAGAGGCCGAGATATTAATCATTCTGTAGACGTTGAATTTCAGGAAAACCTCAGGTTCTAGAGGTGGTTATAAGGGTTTTATAGGTCTCTTTTATCAGGTGGGTCAGGCCTTAATGGGTTAAATGACATGGATTGAGTGGATTATCTGAGCTGATCTAAACTTTAGCATTAAAAAGAATCAAGTATAAAATCTCTATTAATAACCGCGCAAATTGAGTGAGTACCAAACACCATGTCCTGGTACTCATCTGATTACCTCACTGAAAAAGTTATGTGCACCCCTGCCTATAAAGGTAAATGTAAGGCAATTTTTAATCCAATCCAAAGTAGTTACTACTGTGTGTATATTTTAGATCCAAAGTGTACTATAGGTATACTGTGCATCTAAGATAGACATATACCTAGTTATCCTACAGTTGCAACAACTAGTAAAAGAAAAACTATAACACCACTCCGGCTGTAACTGTAGCTAGACCTGAAACAGAACAAAGTAGGCTTTGTCACACATATCAATGTGTGGGTAATATTTTCGGCTGACGAGCACGGCGCCTCAACGTGCATTGTGCTCCAAACTTTCATTTCCACTGTGCGTGATATAAACTGTAAAAAATCTGAATCTAACTGACATGAATAAAGAAGAGTGGCCTTTATTTGACAATTCAAGTCATTTCTATTGTTAGATAGTTCTTTACACTGTAAAGAACTGTAGAAACACTGTAAGAAATAGCAAAAGCATGCAGAGATTAAAGAGCGACTAAACACCAAATCAACTTTGTTTAACTCATAAACCGCTATCCTTTTTCTTGACATTTTCGTTCAAATTAGATAAAATCTCACTTTTGAGCCAGAAAATGTCTGCGTTGCGCCCTCTCTATCTTTTTTGGTGGTACTACATTTGAATTTGGTCCTGGCCTCTCTATTGACTCTGTAATTCTGTCTGACGTCATTTTGTATGTGTGACGTGCGTCTGTCTGCGCTAGCCTGGTCGTACCACACCATAGTACAAATTACATTTCGTACTAAGGTCTGGAGGTGCTCCATTGAGCTCCGATAACAGGAGGGAGGGGTTACTCCTTTTGCAGATTGAAACGATTGGATCTGAGTTTACCGTGATGTATGTAGTGCGCCCGAGTCTGTTGTTAGCATTTAGTCTAGCCATCTCCTTTGCCGCTAACGGAGTAGCGCCATTGCCAAACAACAACCTGCCCGTTCGACGCAAACTCTAGACATCACCCACATCTAACGACAACACCCACCTCCCACGCTCGCTGATTTGTCGGTCGAAATTTAACTGATTGTAATCGCTAACATGGGGACCAGACCATGACGTTACATGCAGGGAAATGATGATTGAGCGGAGTGTACGGATGGCTAAGGCCAAGCTAGTCTGTGCCAGTGATATAAACCCATCCAACTCTCACACACGCCCCAGGAGCAGGTTGGGGTGTTCTGTCAACATCTAGTGGATTCAAATTGAATTACATGAATTGACAACTACTGCTGCTGAGATAATTGTATGGATTAGGTTCAGGTCTGTAGCTTTACAATTATCTTAGTGTGTAAACAAGGGTGGAATGAGACTTTCTGGTCTGTAAACTATTGCTTTAAGCAGCAATGACAACTGTCTGTTTTTTTTGTGTGTGACAAGTGAGATGTCAATCACAGCCCAGACCACACCAAGCTCTAAGCCCCCCTTCTTGTCCCTGTGTCCTCCAGGCACCGCCCTTTTGAGAGAAAATGTTCAAATGTTCATGTGGGCGGAGTAAGGCTGGGCACAGGTGTTTAGTCGCTCTTTAAGTAGCCTATATTAGACAATCCAAATGCTTTCTTTTTGGATGGGATTGGATTGTGTTTTGCTTCATCCAATCCCTTTTCAAATCAAATCAAGAGATATTTAAAACAGGGAAAGATACTGTATGTGAAGTGCGATTAATAACTTAACTATGGTTAATATATACATTTCGCAGTTCAGTGCACCATTATGTTGACTTTCATACAACTACCATTTTTGCCACAAAAAAGTAGCTCTCCGTGGGGAAAGGTCAGAGACAATTTGGTCTTAATCCATCGGCTTTGATTGCTATGAGGTTCCTAAGATTTGGCTACAATTTGACTCATATGAGCAGTTCTAATCAGCCAAATCTGTAAAATCTTTTACCTCATTGTTGATGTTTCTAAAGGCCTGAATTGCTGCTTTCTGAGTTAATAAAGGAGCGTTGGTTTTCTTTGCACAGTGCAGGACAGCAGAGACCAGACGAGGATTGTGATCCTGTACAGCCCGACCCATGATTCCAATCACCTGGAACGAGAACATATGTGAAACTATGTACTTAAAACTTAACCAAAAACATGAACAGAATTGAGTTAACCCACCCTGAGTACAAGGTAGGACAGCTCTTGTGGATCAGGGGTTAGTTCCGGGTCCATGTTTGGTCCGAGTTCACCTGAACACTCGTTCAACATCTCCTCCAGGAAGACTGCAACATCTGTGATCTCTGGAGTCACGTCTCCTTCATAAAAAAATACATTTTGCAAAAGTCTAAAGTGTGCACCAAGAACAAGTTCATGATAAAACAAGGTTAAAAAATTTAGGAATAAACGCTATTCGCTTATCTACACTTACATTCATTTTTATTCTTCTCTGTCTTTCTCATTATAAAATATTATCATTGGTATTATATTACGTCAATATATTATTTTTATTATTTTTATGATTTCATTTATTTTAAATTTTATTTTTGGCCTGTGGGTGGTCAGGTGGGTGGGAGGTTTTGAAAAGAACTGAGATTGCATTGACACTGATTTTATTAGTCCCACCAACAACGTCTGTCTTCAAAAGTTCAATAAACAAAGTAAAAAAAAAAAATACAGAATAAACACCATTGTTAAAATAATGGACAACAATAACTAAAACAAACTACAGCAGTCCTGGTCTCAGCAGTCTGGGTCTCAGCATCTGGGGTCTCAGCATCTGGGTCTCAGCAGCGGGGTCTCACAGTCTGGGGTCTCAGCAGTCCGGTCTCAGCATCTGGGTCTCAGCAGTTCGGTCTCAGCCGTCTGGGGTCTCAGTAGTCTGGGGTCTCAGCAGTCTGTGGGTCCTCAGCAGTTCGGTCTCAGCCGTCTGGGTCTCCGCAGTCCGGTCTCAGCAGCCATCAAGCTCATGTGGACACAGTGAGACATACTTCACAAACATGTACTCACACATCCTAAAGGGCCGTTCACCGGGCCAGAGGCAGAGACTGGATATGTACAATCTAACCCTGCTAGCTCATGAAGCACTAGCTCACGAAGCACTAGCTCAAGAAGCACTAGCTCATGAAGCACTAGCTCATGAAGCTAACTAGCTCATGAAGCACTACTCAATGAACACTAGCTCATGAAGCACTACAGCTCATAACAGTCTGTGTCACCACTCACTACAGTCGCCCTTGTGTCCTGGGTTTATATTTTTGGATTTTGTCGGATTGGTCTTCCAGATAGGAACCATAAGGATTGACCAATCAGATGCCTTCATTCACGGGGAAAACTCAAGCTTGCCCCAAGCAAAACCACCTTGAGCAACCCCGACCCCTGAAACACAAGGCAGAGCGCCTCCTAGAGGCCCTCTTCTCCCCCCTGGAAATATCCATTTGCGGAAGAGAGAGTGACCTGGGCCCTGAGGCTTTTTGGGCCGCAGAGCTGCAGTAGGTGAAAGTACAAGACCTACAGAGGGAAAAAAGCCCCTGAGCAACAGCAATGGCCAGGCTGGGGGGCCCGCTGCCCTATCAGGCCGGCCGGCGTGTGTCAGGGGTCCCTTGGTGGCGTACAGGCCGGTGTCCATGGTCACTCGGCTGGTGCTGGAGTTCATGGCCGAGAGCCAACCTGCAGAGACCGACAATCCGTCCCCAGGTATGAGACTCTTACACTAACAGTGTCCAGAGCCTGAATGCTGCTGACCTGCACTAGACGTAAACATACTCCGTCCACGAATGAACATCTGGCCCCTGGGGTGTTATTAGATTAGATTAGAACCCCACGCCACCCCCTAAACAACACTAAGTCAAAAACCTGTACTATCAAGCAAACAGCAGTCCTGAGAATGTAAGTCTACTAATCTGAAATGTACATCCACTGGGGATACGCAAATTATTATTATTATTATAGACCTTACTTTTTCTACAAAGACTGAGACTTTTTATAGAGCCTGAATGAAATAGAATGTTTGTTTATAACGGTATAACAGATACGGGTTTTAGAAGTAAAGTAGATAATCCTTACCTAGTTAAGGATTTGATTTGATAAATAATTAAAATAATAATAATAATAAATAAATAAGAGAGCGAGAAAGGTTGGTTTGCCCTTTTACACAGCAGCTGGACAGGGCTGGACCTCTACCCCACAGGAGGCTGGGTCAGGGCTGACTCTGACCCCGACAAGGAGCTGTGCAGGGGCTGACCCTCCTGACCCCACAGGAGCTGGGACAGGGGCTGACCACAGACCCCACAGAGTCCGGGGCAGGCTGAACCTCTGACCCATACACAGACCGGGGCAGGGGTTGACCTCTGACCCCACAGGAGCTGTGGCAGGGGCTGACGCTCTGACCCACAGGAGCCGGGCAGGGCTGACTCTGACCTTTAACCCACAGAGCCGGGCAGGGCTGAACCTCTGACCCCACAGGAGCCGGGGCAGGCGGCTGACCGCTGACTACCACAGGAGCTGGGAGCAGGGGCTGACCTCGACCACACCACATTCCTGCAACAGACGTAACATTCTGTGGTTTTCAGAGCCATTTTCTGAATTGTACAAAACAGTTTTTTCTGAACAGAAGGAGAGAACAGAGATTATTATGACTCTAATACAATTGTTTAGTGCGTAAAACAACTTTGTTGAAAAGCTAGGTTGAAATTATTCCCATAAACTTAAATTATTATAAATAAATTAATGAGGCGCAGCCACAACCGGGTAAGGGCCTATTGCTTTTGCCTACGAGTAATGCCGGGGCGAAAGCCCAGGCATTACTCTTTGAAATTGTCATAAGTCTCAATCTCCGGGCGCAGCCCCGAGATTGTGACCTGCACGCGACTGCAACGTGCCCCAAGCACATGATAATCCGTGCCGTAGGCACGGAAATGGCTTTGTTCCTGCTGTAGTAATCAGCATGAAATGATTGAAGTCCATTAAAGGGGGGGTTCCTTCAACTGTCTTAACGACGAAATGTCCGGGGCGAAAGCCCGGACATTCGTCCCCCAAGCCCCGACGGCGCGGGCCCAGACACTGACAAACATCCCGAGGCACTGAATGGCTTTGCTCCTTCTGTATACACAGTGTATGAAAGGGGTCCTATGTGGGGGGGTGGGTGACCTCAAATGATGCGAGGTGATTAGCGCGAGGCGCGCGTCTGCGCTCGTCTATCAACCGAAACCCCAATAGTTGCGACCGCCTCGACGTTCGCGTTTAAAAAACGACGTATCATTTGTTTTATAGGTTACTATGGAAAACCGTACTATTGTTTTTGCTCGAAGAATTTAAAAAAAAAAATTCCTTGTTTGGTTGGTGTAATTATTTTTGATTAGTTTCTTTTTTCTTCTGCACTTTGAACCTTAATTTGATGACTCCCATGAACATGATGAAAAGTTTGTGAACTTTTGCCCAAATTCAGAACCGCGGCGAAAAATAATTTTTTTTTGGTGTTTCAAATGTCAGATACAGCGCCCCCCCCTACAAAGTCATTTACATTGCGCCTATGGAGGGGGTCGAAGGTCAAGTTTGCTCGTAGCAGCCACAAAATTCGTACAAAACATGTTCCTCAGTCAAGACATGAAAAAAATGTTAATTTGCTCCGCCCCCTGACAAACAGGTGACCTCATTAATTTAAATTGGAAAATGGAAAAACTAAATTGAAGCTTTTTCACACATGTCGCTGGTAAATTATCTCCTCCTCCGCCGTTTCAACCGGATTTGTTCTCAAAATCGCTCCACATGTCTAAACCCATGTCCCATCTATTATTGAATATAGAATTTGGATCAATTAAACGTTGTCACCGAGCAGACGGAGACGGGCAAAAATGTGACATTTTTGGGGATTTTTGACAAAATAAATTGCCCCCGTTTGCACAAACAAAGCCGGATTTGGCAACCAAATTTTAATCCATTGTTCAGCTCCATGGTCTAGGCATTGAACAGATGGAAATATATGAAATTGGCTCATTAGCAGCCCCTCCCTACAGACTATGTCAAGTTTTAACATGGCCTAATAAAATTTAGTTTTGTCCAAAATGTTTGAAATTTATGCACATAATCTGTTTCGTCATCTGGATTCAAAAGTCAATTACAACCAAAGCTTTATTTTTTACGCCTGTTGCCGTGGCCCGCAACGACCAACACTCCCCTGTCTGTGTCTATGAGAAAATCGTTAAATCTCGGAAAAGAACACCTCGCTCAAACATCAACAAACCAGCCCTCGCCGTTTCCCTAATTTGTCTGAAAATTATCGCTCCACATGGTGTCCACCATTGGTCCATCAATAGTTGCATATAAGAGTTTTAAAATAAACAAAACGGTCTGAGCGTGACAGACCCCCAAAGTGTGGTCATTTTCATAGAGAGAGTGTAAGTTCCCATGCTTAACTCCATGTTAGACTCTGTATGGACAACACTCTCAGATTGTAAGTACAACAGGTAGCACATTTACAAAACTCTGTTTGCACTAACTTGACTCCTGATGTTCAACTCCTGCGGCCTAGGTCACATGACAGTGTGAACAATGAAATTGTGCTGATTAGCGCGCACCCTGCAGCTGAGTAAAGGTTTACATGGGGATAAAATATTGAGGTTTTTATCCCTCATATTTGACCTAAACTTAACAAAAAAAAAACACGAAAACTCAGCAAACTTTGCCATAATAATTTTTTAGGCATAAATGATATTATTTTGAGTTTTACTTTGGTATAAACAAAAAAATAATTGAAATTGCAGGGGGCGCTAAATTGTACATACATTAAATAACACCATTAGCACATACAAATCCATTTGCACAAAATTTGAATTGATTGTTCAACTCTCGTGTTCACCAGGTAAACGAAAGTGTAAATCATGAAATTGCAGCAAAAGCGCCCCCTAGAGCCTTAGTCAAGTGTTACATGGGGAGAATCTGTTTAACCTTATCAATAGACACACACACCACACAATCACTAATCAATAGGTACAAAAACACACAGTGGTCGCTCCCATCAGGGGGGGGAAAAAAATGGTGGCGCGTCAGCGCCACCCCCTCCTTTGCGCGTCGCCAGGGGCCGTTAGAATGCCGCTGGCGGCTTTTATTTTGCAATTGGTCTCTTCAGATTGAATAGATCTTAGGTGCTGTATCTCTCTCTCTCTCAGAAAACTTGCAAATGCATGTGAAGTAAACTGGCACCCGTTATCTGAGACTAGGAAACTTGGATTACCCTCTCTACTGAATACTGTGGCTAAAAAACGAAGAATAACATCTGTCGTGACGGTAGAGGCAAACGCATTCTCAGGCCATTTGCTGTAGCAGTCTGTAAGTACAATGGCATAACGACAGTCCCATGTAGCATTTTCAAATGGACCCGTTATGTCTATTGCAACTTTTTCCCATGGCTTACTCGGGAGTGCAGCTGGTGTAAGTGGTGCAGGAGCAGTAACAGCCACTTTATCACTGAACTGGCAATTTACACAGGAGGAAATGACACTATGAACTAGTTTATCTAGTTGAGGCCACCAGTAAAGCTCGCGTATTCTCTGTTTAGTACGGACTATACCTTGGTGTCCCTCATGTGCCAAATCAACAACTCTGGCCCTGAGTGCACTAGGAACGACTAAACGATCTGTCCCTCTCATCACAAGTGAATCGTGTACAGATAGTTCATCTCGTACCTGATAATATGGTTTAATTTCAACTGGTACACCTTTCTTAGATTTGGACCAGCCTCTCTCAATCTGCTGACCTAACATTATTAGTTCAGGGCAACTTTCACTGGCAGTAGTGAAGTCTGAAACAGAAATGGCAGAAAGTGACTCCTTAAATACAGCAGCAATCATGTCTGGTTCATCCGTGCCCTCGTTTGTATCAGTCAGTGGCAGTCTAGAAAGGCAATCTGCAGTCACATTTAGATAACCTGGGTGGTAAGCAATGTCATAGGTGAAACAAAGCAAGCGGGCAGACCATCTGGCTATTCTCAGTCCAGCACGTCCGGCTCCCTTCGAGGTAAGCAGGGTTGTAAGGGCCTGGTGGTCCGTGCGTAGAACAAAACGGTGTCCCCAAAGGTAGGTTCTCCACCTTTCCACAGCCCACACACAAGCAAGTGCTTCTCGTTCCACAGTAGAGTATTTGCGTTCTGCAGGGGAGAGCGTTCGGGATGCAAAAGCCACAACTCTCTCATTTTCACCTGCATGCATTTGTGTCAGTACCGCACCCAGTCCATAGTTAGAAGCATCTGTAGTAACATAGGTTGGCAATTCGGGGTCGTACAAAGCTAGCGCAGGACTGTTAACTATTAGCTTTTTTAGAGCAGTGAAACTAGCTCCGGCTTCAAATGACCACCTGAAGTTCAAATCAGTGGACTCCCTGAGCACTGCACGTAGTGGCTCAGCAACTGTAGCAAAATCTGGAATTAATTTACCAAGAGGCAAGACCTAGGAATGACCTCAGCGACGTAGTATCATGGGGTGCAGGAGCATTTGTAACTGCTGTAAGTCTTTCCTGGTCAGGGTTAAGTCCATGTTTTGAAATAGTATGTCCCAAATAGTTTAGCGATGACTGGTTAAACTTGCATTTGTGCATGTTTAGTTGTAAGCCGGCATTCGTCAAGGCATGTACAGTGCCTTGCGAAAGTATTCGGCCCCATTGAACCTTTCAACATTTCGCCACATTTCAGGCCTCAAACATAAAGATATAAAAAATTTGTCAAGAATCAACAACAAGTGGGACACAATCGTGAAGTGGAACGAAATGTATTGGATAATTTAAACTTTTTTAACAAATAAAAAACTGAAAAGTGGGGCGTGCAATATTATTTGGCCCCCTTGCGCTAATACTTTGTAGCGCCACCTTTTGCTGCAATTACAGCTGCAAGTCGCTTGAGGTATGTCTCTATCAGTTTTGCACATCGAGAGACTGGAATTCTTGCCCATTCTTCCTTGCAAAAGAGCTCGAGCTCAGTGAGGTTGGATGGAGAGCGTTTGTGAACAGCAGTCTTCAGCTCTTTCCACAGATTCTCGATTGGATTCAGGTGTGGACTTTGACTAGGCCATTCTAACACCTGGATAAGTCCATTTGTGAACCATTCCATTTGGCTTTATGTTTTGGATCATTGTCCTGTTGGAAGATAAATCTCTGTCCCAGTCTCAGGTCTTTTGCAGACTCCAACAGGTTTTCTTCCAGAATGGTCCTGTATTTGGCTCCATCCATCTTCCCATCAATTTTAGCCATCTTCCCTGTCCCTGCTGAAGAAAAGCAGGTCCAAACCATGATGCTGCCACCACCATGTTTGACACCGCTGCTCACCTGAGCAGCGGTGAGGACAGAGATGAGGAGGATAAAGACCTTCACAGATTTTCAATGGGGTTGAGGTCTGGAGACTGGCTAGGCCACTCCAGGACTTTCAAATGTTTCTTACGGAGCCACTCCTTCGTTGCCCGGGCGGTGTGTTTTGGATCATTGTCATGCTGGAAGACCCAGCCACGTTTCATCTTCAAAGTTCTCACTGATGGAAGGAGGTTTTGGCTCAAA